AAAGAGTGGCCAGAATGGCTCTTTCTTAAAGCCTTTCTGCCATGTGGAGCTTTGTAACTGATTACAGCTAAATGCTCTACTACATTTGTTCTTGTAGATGGATTCAAACTGACTACTGGGTGAACATTCACTCTTGTCAGTACAAATTCTGATTTTTACGTGTCCGTGCACTTTCTGCATTAAAATTAGAATCCTTTAAGAAGAGCCATAGCCCTTATCAAACAGCAAATGTAAACCAGAGTTGCTCCTTGTAGTTTGCAATATATGGAGAATGATCTTCAACTAGCAATGTTTTGCTGGCAGTTGAACTGTGTTGGTATTTACCAAGAGCCAGTCACAGTTGGTTCAGTGCTGGACTGAAAGTAAGGAAACTGCTTTCTTGTTCCCAGCTCTGCCAACTCTGTGATCATGAGCAATTGGCATTTCACTGTATCTCAGCCTAGGTTCCCATCTAGAAAATGGAATTGTTGTCTATCCTCTGTAAAGCAGTTTGACATACATGAATGAAATGTATTACTAATAACATTTTTGTTGCTTAGTTACCCGTCAACTGACTTTAAAGGGCCTAAGTGACATAGCTCACCCTAACGGTTGAACTTGTTATGATCTTTTTTTTCTCTCCCTTCACAGAAACTTGCCTTCATGGTGTCTCTGGGACTAGTTACTCATGACCATCTGGAAGGTAGGAAAAATGTCTCAAGTTGGTTCTTGAGTTCCCTGTTTCATGGACATTCTGAATTGGAAGTAAAGGTCAAAAATATTTCTGTATTAAATGCAGTAATTTTTTTTGCACAAAAGTACATTTGAGATGTCTGTGCTCTTGATCTAACTTTGTTGTACATACCTTTTAATTTTTCTTATTATACTGATGCAAAGCAGTTGCTTATGCAGCTGAGATCAATGGTTGGGAAGAAAGTGTATGCTCTGATGGTAGGAAAGACGTTTGTGACAATCGCATTGCTTTCTGGACAACCCCTGTATCTGCAAAGTTACATCATGGATAGTTTTACTGTAACCCACATCTGGATTTATCATTTACTTCATGATTTCATGGGACTGTAATCTGTAGTGAATGAGTTAATAGGTTATAATTAGTATTATAATTTGAACTCCTTAATCCTATACAGTGAAATGCAGCCTAACATTTCACTAGCTTGCATATTTCTGTACTGTATTTATTTTTAAGTATCAACAAGGTTACCATAGGCTTTTTGGTTTAGATCCCAGTTAGACTGACCATGAGTTTAAAATGTCTTAGTCACAGACTAGTTGGCAAGAAGATGGCAGTCATTTCATTAGTTAGTTGAGCAGTGTATTTGTACTCCTTGTCAGCTCTTAGTTTTCAAACCTTCAGAAATAAGCAGTATAACAAAGTTGCCTATATTCAGCATGATTGGTGTTCTGTAGAAATCTTCACAGCTCTCTTCACATGCAAACTGAATTCTGAGGACTTTACATAATTTCTGAGACCTGTTGTTTTCTAACCTGAATGCTTTGTTTTACAAGAAATCCAAAGTAAGCGACAAGAGAGGAAAAGAAGAACAACAGCAAATCCAGTGTACAGTGGAGCTGTTTTTGAGCCTGAGGTATTAATTTTTTGCTGGGGAAGCTGGTATTTTCATTCTGAGCTTCTGTGTCTTTCTGCCATGTTGCTGCCTCCTAAGTTATCTCAGTTCTAACTAGACAGGCAAGCTATCATTTATAACTCTAAAGGCCATTGCAACAATATGACCCTCAGATTTTGAAATAGTAAATACATTGGGATGTTCTTCTAATACTTAGGTCTTTTTCTGCCTTCCTCTATGTAAAGCTGACGTTAAATGGCAGTGTGTGTTAGTCTGACCATTAGGTCAGCTTGCATATCAGCCTGAAGCAGTCCAGGTGTCAGAAGTAGTGTAAAAAAGCCAACCTTTCTGAAGCTGTGCTTCAGAAAACAGAGCATCCAGTAATCTCACTTAGTACTACTGTGCTGTTCCTCGGGTATTGCATATAGTTGTTGCCAAAAATGTTAGCCGACAAAAATTGTTATATTCTTCCCTGCAGCGCAAGAAGAGTACAGTCACCTACCTGAACAGCACAATGCATCCCGGGACACGTAAAAGAGGTGAGGAATACTTAGACCTGTCTCCCTGCTGTATTCCTCTTCCTCCATCTTGCATTTGCAATCCCCTTGTTGATTTGAAGAGCAAAACAAAGAAGTACTCTACAGTGCTTCATTTGTCCAGTAAATTTGCAAGGTAGACAAAGATCACGACTTCTAGGGATTAGCATAGCAGTTATGTTTCATTTCAGTTTCACTCTCCAAAAAAAAAAAACAAAACAATAGGTAGACCAAAGTGAAAGGTGAGATGTTTGAACATCATTTAGTGGTATAAAGCTGCTGTCAAGATCCTCTTGTTAATAACTAAATTGTATTGTTACTGGCAAGAAGAAGGTGGTTATGGAAAAAAGTGTCTGTGCCCTGAATAGGACAGGAAACTTAGTGTGACAAAAGCCTTGTTCCCCACTGGGAGTAGAGATGGGTCCTTCAAAAGAATTTATCTTGAGCAAGAAATCTATCGTGCCTCTACTGAGCACTTTTCTGCAACCAGAGTGCCTCTTGTCCTAAAATGAGACATGATTTTTCATACAGGTGTGTGGTATTATTCAGTAGAAATCCTTCTGTAGATCAGGTGAAATTTTAAGACTTAGATTATGGTGAAACAGATGAGTCAGAACAGCATAGGAGAGAACATGATACCATTTTTTGTGCTTGGCATCCGCCACACATATATGACAATCTTTCCCTGACTTTTGATGATTTTCTGCAGTCCTTAAAGACTCAAAATACCTCCTTTACCCCTGAGTTTGCTGTCTAAAAAAAAGTAATCAATCAGATTAAAAAAACCGCAGTCCAACCTAGCACTGACCAGTTCCATTATCTTTGTTTTTTGGCTGCAAGGTCAAATATTCATTTGATATGTGCTCTCCTTGATAGACCTCTTCAGTCCAGCAGGCAACGTGGCAAAGCTGACACTTCTGCAGCTATGCTGTTTCTAAATAAAAGGCATCATTCTCTACTGCCATCCTCTAATAACATTCAATACATTTTTTTAAATGATATGATGATTTAGATTTTAGAGAGAATTTTGCATTTACTCTGTGGATAAGTAAATGTTCCTTCTTCTACTAATGATTTCTTAATTTTATTTTATAACTCCATGTGAACAGTTACTGTATCAATGAAAATGATTGCATGCTTTTGTACTTGATACTCTCTTAGCCTGGTTTTGCACACTGACTGCTATTATACTTTCTTTTTTTTCCCTCACACCCTGTTGTGAGCCTTTACCTTGCATCAGCACCATATTAGTAGCACACATTTTCAGTCGACAAAAGATTTGGATGTATACATTTGTTTTGTGATTTAATATAGCAATATATTAGGTGAAAAGCTTATGAAAGCATGTGCCCTTGAGAGCTTTAGTTTAATTCTAGATGGTGCTGAGCATGTCAGAAATTTCAGCCATGGACATCACTATCAGAAATCCATTTCCAAGGGCATACTTAGTTCTGGAATATATCCAGACCTTAAATGCAAGGTTTAGCATGTTAATAGGTATAGACTGACAATCTGTAAACATAAGATCTGGGGAATTATTCCGAGATCCTAACTCCTTTATGTTTACATATCCATAAATTACCCTGGAGAAGGGAGGCAGAAATGATGGTTACATACTGGTTTTTTGCTGTCTTGCTTTGCATATGTAATTTCATGAAAATTGTTACAAACGCATTTTGCACTTCTGCTAGTTTAAAGGAGCATATAGCAGTTGTGCATAATCAAACATACGTGACAGAAAGTCTAAGAAAGAATACAGAATTTGAGGAGAATTACAGTGGAAGGCCAGTGCTAGGTTACAAGTGGTAGTGCTGGTGTTATGGGTCAGACAACAGGACCAGCCTAATTTAAAAAATGTACCAGTAGGGTAGAAAGTGCTGATCTGTGGGTGAGTGGGTTTAAAAAAAGAGGAAGAAAAGGAGGGGGCTGGTGAGTGTTGGCCTCTGATAAAGGACTTAACCTTTGTGTAGATTTTTGCTGGCACTAGAAAGATAGGGAGGTGTGGGATAACAGTAGAAAGGATTTAATAGTAGTCATTGTAGCTTCTCTCTAGCTTTGATGCCAACATATTTACCCTAAAAACTGAATAGCCTCATTTCTAGAAGTGGCAAGTGTCCCCACACTGCTTTTGTGGGAGTGATTCTTTGACCCTCTACAGAGCTGATTTCTATTTCCTTCTGAAATACATCTTTTAAATGTTCTTTCCTTGCAAAATTCTACTTAAAGATTTCTAAAAAAATGTTTAAATCTTTGCTTCTGTCCTTCCACTTGTAACTTTTATATTAACTTCCTCTCTGTGCTACATCATTTCCTTTTTCATGCTAGCCAATGAGGACCACTGGCCAAAGGTATGTAAGATCATTTTTCCTTTTTTTTTTTTTTTTTTTTTTTTTTTTTTTTTTTTTTGTGTTCCCTGTTGTTAATATGTAGGTCGTCCACCTAAATACAACACGGTGTTGGGGTTCGGGGCTTTGACCCCCACGTCCCCTCTGTCCGGTTATCCTGACTCCCCTGAAAATGAAAAGACAGAGACCACATTTACTTTTCCCGCAGCTGTTCAGCCTGTGTCCCTGCCTAGCCCCAGCTCCGCAGACGTAAGTAACGCTTGGGGAGGGGGTGACTTTTAGAAAGATACGCAGAAACAGCTACAAGGAAAGTCGTTGAGAATTTCTTTCTTTCTCACTCATCATTTGTCCTGATTCAGTGCAGTGAAACGGTCCAGCATTCTTTTAACACCCTTCCTTTTTCCTCCTGCACCTATGTTCTTATCCTGTAGAGATTTTATTTATAACTCCTTTAGTGGATTGAAACATTGAGAGGCACCAGGCATGCTAGATGAGCTCATTTCCTTTGTGCAGTGTCTGAGATCTTGTCTGGCTGAATTGAATCTGTCATCCATGAAAAAGGGGGAAGGGGAGAATGAAAAGTATTGCTTACAGACCAACAAAAAGTTGGGGTGTTTTTGTAATGAGGGAAGGAGGGAAACTGCTTGGATCACCCAGGACAGCCAGGAGCAGCGTTCACAGCACTGGTTATGGCAGTTCTGGTGTACTGGTGTGGCTAAATAGGTCGCCCCTGTGGTCAGATCGCAAAATCTGTCTTGAGTAAAATCTGGTCATTTTGTTATAATTTATGAAGAACCGAGTGTCCTTATTTTAAGTTAATTCAAAGATAAGATTTGCTACTCAAAGCAAACCTTTTTTTAATTTGCTGAGAACTATCCAGTTATTTCATTGTTTCTATTTCTTGCAAAAACATGATGAAAAAAAATAAAGGTCATGCATAAACTTTAGAAGATAAATAGAGTGGGAAGAATTAGACTGAGTCGCTGTATAGGTCCAGAAGGACATAATGAAGGGACTGTGTACACTATGGTTTGTCTGAAAGTGTACTGTGACTGTTTTCACAGGGTGAAACAATTCATTGCACAAAAATTCTCAGGAGTTGTAGTGTACTTCCAGTAAAGTGCTTGCACTTTAATGACTAGTACTTACTGAGCACAGTTTAAAAATAGAAAGGTGCTCGCTTATTTCTTCATACCAATGCTGCAAACTCCTGCAATGTGAGTCAGAGCAGTCTCTTCCCCCCCCCCCCCTTTTTTTAAACATATTAGCACGTATAATTCAGGCCCAACCATTTGAAAATGGGCTTTAAGGAAGAGTATGGCCACTGTATTCTCATCTGTGCAGTTGCACCACTGTAAGTACATAGACTGACAGACCAACTCTACAGGCCACGTACAGTAGGGAGCAGAAACCAACTTCTTGCCTCAGAACTGTATTTGTTCTGCAGAGGTAACAGGAATAGAAATAGTACAAGTGTGTCTGAGTCACTGAAATAAATAGATGCAATTCTGATAGCCAGGGAATATGTATATGAGATTAAAAGGTTCTCTTTTATATAGTGACTTTTGAGAGCAGAATAGCACTTGACTGTAAAAACACTTTCCTGGCAGTCAAATGAATGGGACTGTGCAACAGCCCCTCAGGGAGAAGGTGGGGCAGCTCCATCTCTGGGGACTTTTAAAACCAAGCAGTACAATCAACTAGCAAACATGCTGGAGAGCGCATTTTTTTTACATTGGCCCCAAGAGAAGGACTGGATAATGTGGTGGGGGTCTTTTCCATCTCTGACTTGTGTGTGTAGACTGCCGAGTCTTTTCCCACTGTGTGAGAGCTCTCAAAACAGTATAATGAGTTGTTGTCCTGTTTTCTGCAGTGCCTGGTGGCAGCAAGCTAAATCAAGAATAGTGAATTTCTGTAGCATTCAAATCCAGTTCTGAATGCCCTGAATTTTCTGAATTTGGATGGTATTTAGGCCTAGGTTTTAGATTGCTTTAATATTCATTAATTAATGAAAATGGCAGTATTTTAAAGGAGACAATGGAAGATTACACAGCAGGTAATTAACATTCTCTCTTACCTGAGCATATTATAGCACAGTAGCA